AGTAATTGTTTGCTCGTTTCAGGCTTAAGCTACCGAACAAAATAAGATTCGTTACAAGAACGCAAGAGGTATCATAATCGTACAATCAGAATCCGCCTTCAAACCTCGCCCGCTAAAATTCAAACAAGCCGTAGCCTAAATAGCGAAGACTAGGAAGGAAACTAGAAGTATGTACCAGGCCGAGGCAAGCTATGGCCATTCAGTCCTGTAGAGCCGTTTGTCTCGGTCGCAGGGTTGCCCGAGGGGTGCCCATTGACTTGGGTGTTCTCCGCCGCAGTCGAGGCCGCCGATGGCTCAGGGTCGATATGCATGCTGAGGAAATTCAGGTCGAGACCATTAAGATGCGGAATGTGTGGAACGAGGTCCGTGAAATCAGAAAGTCGAATCCAGAAGATATGCTCCATTTCGAAGTACTTGGGCCGTGTGTCGCAATCCAGCTGCATGATCTCTCCGAACGATGCGTTGCGGTATTTGGGGTCATCGGTGTAAACCAGCATCCGGCGGGTGCATCGCCAGAGATTCATGCGCTGAGTTTCAGTTGCATTGCGTTTCTCCCAACTAGCATCTATGGGGAAGAGGTTAGTGGATTCATCATCATTGTGGGAGGATAAAAGTTGACACTCACATTGAGAGAGCTGGAGGTCATTGGTCGCCAGCAGGGGTGCAACCAAGTAATTCGGGATCCATTTCTCATCCGCCATATCTCCGATACATTTGGGCTCGAGTTGCCGGGTAGTCGCGGTGACGAGAGGCAAGAAGTTCGTAAGCCAGGAATGACTTCGAGCGCGGGGATCATTAGAGCCCACAAAGTTGGCGGATATGCGAAGGCGGCCTGGCAGAGCATCCCGACGTCGTTGCTCCAGGGCCTCTTGGTCGCGACGGATCTTCAGAAGGCGAGCTCGTTCTTGCTCCATGCGCTTTTGGCGCTCGTCTTCAGCTTGTTTCACGCGTCGCTGCTCGGCTTCCTTGCGTTTGCGTTCATCTTCTTCGACCTTAGCACGGGCAGCTAGGGCAGCTCGATCGGCTTCTTCCTTAGCAAGACGAACACGTTCCGCCTCTCGCTCCGCCTCACGTTCCGCTTCACGCTCTGCTTCACGCTCTGCTTCGCGTTTGGCCTTGCGTTTGGCCTCACGTTCCGCTTCTTCTGCTTCGCGACGTTTTGCTTCGGCCACGCGTTCCTCTTCTACTTTCTTTGCCTCCGCCTCTCGACGCTTCTCTGCTTCTTGAGCTTCGCGCTTTGTGTTTGTGGGTACCTCAGCGACTGAGCTTGCAGCGGGCTCCTGGGGTTCGGTCTTGACTGCACCATTCTCTTCTGACGGTGCGTCATCCGGGGCGTGTGAAGGGGGGTCTGGTTTCTTCGAGGGAGGGCCAAGTTTGCGTCCTGGTCCATCACGACGGGGGGTATCATCGGGGTGTCGGCGAGGTTGAGCCTTTTCACTGGCACCTGCATCTTCCTGTTTCTTAGAGTCACCGTTTGGCATGTTTGCGGATTTCTCTTCGGAAACAACGCGTCGTTTCTTTTTCCGTTCGGGTGATAGTCGATCACTTTCTGTGTCGCGAGAGCGAGATCGGGGAGGGGAGGCGTCGTCTGCACGGATGCGCTTGAGGGAGGAGTTTGTTTCGGAAAGGGTATCGTTACGTGATTTCGGTGCCTCCTCGCGACCAGAAAGAGAATCGGACGAAAAGAGACTCGGCCTGCGGTCACGATCCTGAGGGCGTCGCCCTGCGATGAGGCGTCTCTTCTTCACCTCTTCACTTCGAGCCACGCCACTTGACTCGCTGCCTCTCCGAGCAGAAAGGCCAGTCTTAGGCTTGGCGGGATCGGTACGTGCCGAATCATGATCGGAGCTGGCGAGAGCATCACTACCATCGCGAGCAGACGACTTGGGCCGGCTCATCTCGCGCGCCTTCTCTTTTTCTCGTCTTTTCTCCTTCATCAATTGCACCTCTTTGGCAGACCGTGGGCGGTTGGCATTTGGACTTTCAACGGGTTTTTTCTGTCGAGCCACGGGAGAAGATGATTCTCTCCGCGATGATCGTTTGTCGTCCTTCTCTTTGGGACGCGCCCGTCGTGGTGAAGGCAAATCTTTGCGATCTTTATCAGAGCCTCCAGCCTTCTCATAAGCCGCCTTTAAGATGTCGTACTCTTCCTCCCAATCCTCACCTTGCCGGGCCCGAGAAAGCTCGTGGTAGGATCGGTCTTCGAAAAGTCGACGAGTGGGATTGAAACCAGGTTGAGAAAGTATGAGACTGATGACATCAGACTTGCCTCTCCCGATCGCTGCGAGCATGGGTGTATTATAGCCTGGCTTGTGGCCGCGCAGGGGGTCGGGGTCGGCATCGGCATCTCCCATCGCGTACATGAGGGAAAGAACATCGTGATGACCACCCTTTGCAGCAGCAATCAAAGATGCGTTGTCAGCCTTTTGCAAGATGTTCAGGATACTGACGACTCCCACTTCGTCACCCTTAGCAGCAAAGTCTCGCAGGTTTTCGGATGTCGCCTGGGTCCACAATAAATCATTTCTTGTTATCTCACTTCGTCCAGTCTTCCGGCGATTCGAAGCACCGCCTAGTGGCGGGGGACTTCTTGAGGGACTCGCAACGGACGCTCGTCTTGATGAAACCTTGGTGTCTGGGCCGATCTGCTCCTCGGATCGTCGACTGGGCCGTAAGTTGGCTTTCGCGTCGGCAAGTGCTTTTCGGATCTCATCGTACTCGTCCTTTTCCAGGTCCTGTGGGACTAATTCGTAGGGTTCATCTCCAGAAGCGTTCACGGTGCGGGGGTTTGCTCCAGCTTCAAGGAGTAGTCTCACGACTTCAACATTTCCATTTTCCACGGCGTCAATGAGAGGGGTGTCTTTGTCGATATTCTTAGTGTTGATTTCGCAGCCAGCGCCCAACAAGAACTTCACAATCTCGCCTTCTCCATTCAGGGACGCGATTTGAAGAGGAGTGTTGCCAGCGTTGTCGGGGATGTTCAAATCCTCAGGACGTTCACCATGGCGCAGGACCACCTGATCATACTTTCGATCGGCACATGCCCTTGCAAGAGGCGTCCGGCCACTTTTGTCACGTAGCTTCTTGGGACCCATTTGTTTCGCAGGCGAAGCAGACGCGCCAACTCCAGAACCGAGTCGACGAAGGTGAGTACTGGGCATGGGAGAACCACTGGCAGAGGAGGATGTTGATTGTCGATCTTCGGAACTTTGGCGTTGGAAACCGGTCAACGGGGTGGGTGCCTTCTTCTTAGGAGGAAGCTGCGACCCAGAGGCCGAGCGTTGATGGGAAGAGCGAGTTGGAGAGACGGAACGAGCATTAGAGGAAGGTCGAGGGCGAGGGCGAGGGAAGAGACTGTCATTATTCTTGAGTTCGCGGATGGTCGAGCTGGCGTGGGAGTCGCGCCTGCTGCGCTCTCGTTTCTCATCCACGCTGTCGCTGAAACTTCGTTTTCGATATGGCCGTGGCCTATCCACATCATTGGCATTACTCTCCGTTAATACCTCCTTCGTCACAGAGGGAGGATCATCCGATTTTTCAACCTTCACGACCGAAGGGGGTGAAGAAGGTCGATGGGACGGGCTAGGGGAACGGGATCCTCGAGAATCTCTGGAGGGCCGGTGTCCACGGTCGGCATCGATGCGCGGCCTCTTGCGCAAGCTTCCATCGATACCATCGACAGCCTGGCGAATAGGGTCATGTCGAATGTGCTTCCTCTTCTTCTCTGGTGATAAGGATTCTCGTCCTGACTGGATGATCGTCTCTGCCTCCGAATCAGCCTTGGGGCTTGGGGGACCCTCTAGCTCTTCCTCTTGCTCTGCCATCTCCGAATCCACGGGTTCCACGGGTTCCAAGCCATTACTTCCATTACTCGTCCGTTGTGAGGGTGAAGCTGGAACGACCTCCGTCTTCTTAGGGGATGAAGGTCCTGGAGCGTCCGTCTTCACCGCAGCGAGGGGATTCCGGTCGACATCCAGGGCAGCGGGTAGGGAAACCGCCTCAACATCACTCATAGCGATAGCACTCGATGTGTAAGAATTCCGATCGTCATTTTGGGAGGACGCGACAGGTCAAGACGACCGGGGTCGGCAACGCCAGCAATGATGCGCAGACGCTGATCACGGAAGAGTGAAGGTGGTGGAAAAGAGCAAAACCGTACGGCGGGTACGAGAAGGTAGTGGTAGAGGGAGAGTTATAATATTATAAAGGCGACAGGGATGGGGGGGCCCTAAAGAAGCAAAAAAGGGAAAAGTGATAAGAGATCCAGGGAGTGGGAGAGAGAAAAGGTGGAAGAGTAGAGGAGAAAGAGAGGAGGAATGGGAAAGGAAGAGGAGAAAGAAGAGGAAGAAGAGGAAGATTAGACTGGACGGGGGGGGGGAGAGAGAGAGAGCCACAGCAAGTGGCCACAGTGAATCATCCACCTCTTCACTCTCCCTCTTCCCTGCTGGCACCCTCTCTAACTATCTGGGACTACTCTGCCTACTGCACTACTGCCTCTCCCTCTCTCTCAACACCCTCTCTGCACCCAATACCACACTACCAAATTAGCTGCCTTCAGCGCCCCGTTCTGCTTGCACTAGGGAGTATCGAGTCCTCTCCCCTATTTTCGACCCGTCTGCGTGCACTGCACTAACACACGGGCCTTCTATTCGACGCCCATTCCGGACGAAAGCAGTGGCTCCACTGCAGTGGCGATCCCTCAATGCGGCCACTCAGCTTTCATTTCAGCTTTCACTCGTGCCATCCATTGAAGGAGTTGCAGCTTGGGGGCCTGTTCGATTCGGCCTGAAACTTGCCTGGCTCCCTTTTTTTGTTGGAGCCCTGACGATTTAATCGTGCCCACGGTCTAGTGCTCCAGTGCCCCCAGTGCCCCCCCCCAGTGCCCTTTATTTGGCCCATGGGACCAGGATCGGCGGGGGGGCCGCTCTCTTCTCCACTGTCCAGCTGGGAACCTCGCACAGCAGCTTGGCCATGACACAACTTTTCTCCATCCATCTGTCATGGCCTCTTTCCTCGCTCAAGGCGTTGATGCCGCCCTCGAGGCCACGGGTATGGATGCCGTAGATGCTTTGCGCACCTTCTTTCTCCTCGCCGCTGCCACGGTATGTGATAAAAATCTGCTTTTTGCTGCCATGCCATGTCATGCGATGCGCTGCTCTCTCCTACTCCAGAGCTCCTGTGGACACGTCTGGTAGCTAACGGATCTTGACAGACCATCTCCGTCAGCATCCCCTCCTCCCTACGCTCCCGTTTCCTTGTCTATGGACCGCGTGCGACCTCGACCGACTCTAAGCCCCAATCCCGAGCGTCAGCCGAGGGTGCCTCAATCTCCAGGCCGCTAGACTATCTTGCGACTTGGCGAGTACCGCACAGTTACTTCACGCAGTTCTACATCGCTTCATTGGTCTCCTCAGTATTTTGGGCCGTCCAATCTACTATGCCGCGGTACCTTATTTGAGGCCATCGCCTCGCGGGTAAACGAGGAGCATCGGGTACAGACCATGTCTCTGACCCAGGTGCTCGTCTGCTGGATTCTGTTGGCCATGCAGGGTTCGCGGCGACTGTGGGAATCAACCTCCTTCGCAAAACCCTCCACGTCCAAGATGTGGTTCGTACACTGGCTATTAGGATTGGCATTCTACCTGGCTGCTGGGATTGCGATCTGGATTGAAGGATCAGGTATGGAAAGAAAACAATAAATAAAAATCGTCAAGGCCAATTGACTTTGCTAACCATCGACTATAGAGGCACTAATGAATTTCAATCTCACCCTTGACTACATCAAAATCACCAGAGCCCCATCTCTCCGAACCTTCCTATGCGTCCCGCTTTTCCTAATGGCATCCGGAATGCAGCACGACTGTCATCACTTTCTGTTCTCTCTTAAGAAATATACCCTCCCGGACCACCCGATTTTCCGCGCCGTCGTATGTCCGCACTACGGAGCCGAATGCGTGATCTATCTGTCGCTAGCATTTCTTGGTGCTCCGCGGGGCCAGTCCGTGAACAAGACCTTACTGGCATGCTCGGCCTTTGTGGCCGTCAATCTTGGTCTCACTGCCCGAACGACCAAACAATGGTATCTGGAAAAGTTTGGCGGGGATAAGGATGACCTCGAGCAAATCAAGAGTCGATGGCTCATGATACCATACATCTACTAACGACAATTATGAAGAAAAAAAGAATAGAACGATCATAATCTCATTAGAAGAAATCAACCCCGGTTAACCCGACTGTGTATCGAACAAAACAACACAACACATCATTTCACACCCAGAAACTTCAACGTATTCCCCATCTTCGCAACCTTCAAAACATCCCGATAAGTGAGACTAGTCCTCGTCTGCCGATCATACCCACCGATCAGAAACGCATCCTTCTCTCGCAAGAGGGGCCAGTTACAAACGGAATGAGGCCCCAAGTCATCATCCCTGCTCGTTTCTGCAATACCATGCAAGAACTCCGTATACAGCAGATCTCTCGTGATGAGTAAACTTCGTCTCTCCTGTAGGATGCGGAACTGTGGCTTTCTGCTGTTATGCGCGTGGTCACGTTCACCTTCTCCACCTTGCTCTGCATGGTGCTTCTCGTTCGCGTTCTTCTCGTAGATATCCAGTACTATCGGCGCTCCCAGGCTCACTGTTGCCACGAGCGGGTGGTAAGCTGCCCCGTCCTCGTGTGGCATTATGCCCTGCCCTGGACGGTATTCATTGATGAGTACATGGTTTGGGGCACCGTGTGGGGCGCTCTTGAAGATGCCCAGTGAGTTGAATCTCGGCTCGATGATGGGGGATGTCAGCCATGGGGGCAGGTCTGATTCAAGTAGGGTATTTGATTTCGTGAGGGCTGATGGCCAGGTTTGAAGTCGGCGGTGTGATAGATGAGTCCAGCGTGGCAGTGGTGCTGCTGCTACCTGCGGTCCAATGTCAACTGGTGCCAGTGTGATATGTAAATATAGAGAGAGTGGGGAGGTGGAACGGAGGCTAGATAGCCACCCAAAATAGAACATCAACTTAAGAAGATGTGCAAAACTTGTGACTATATATGAAAGGTCCAGGGTATAAAGAATCACACCTTCTGTAGTAAGTACTCCTCTTCATCCTCCGAGATGAAATCCGCGATGTAGAAAGCCTCCCCTGGCAACGAAGTAATTCGAGCCGTTTCCAGATCGCATGCCATGGATCTGACCTGGTCGTATCAACGCCCCATTCTCCAAAACAACTTGAACTTGAAAGTCTGGAGGTGAAAGAAGTGGAAGTAGAAGTAGAGGTACAAGTAAGTAGAAGTTGAGGTAGAAGTACAAAACCGCCCGCAGTGAATCCCACGTCACATTTCTGCCTGAGGCAGCCACCCCACCTTTCACCCGCGCAAACGCAAACACTTTAAACACTTCAACAGCTTCCCGAGCTTGCAAACGGCAGAGCTATATTTTCCCAGAGAAGATCTAGGAGTTTGGATCTCAAATACAGCACTTATAGCCTCCACAACTCGGTTGTCATGGCCCCCAAGAACAACAAGGCCGCCGGCAAAGCCAAAGGCAAAGACACATCCGACGACAAGAGCAAAGGAAAGGGTGGATTGAAGGCAGCAACTTCTATCAACGCGCGACACATTCTGGTAAGTATTTCCTAGAATGATTCTGTCCTCTTGGGATAGTTTGTGTGCGGAAAATTCCCCGGCCATGAGCATATCAAGCTGCACCAGTCAATATCTCACCTCTTATACAGTGCGAGAAACATTCCAAGAAAGAGGAAGCGCTTGAAAAGTTACGCAACGGCACGAAGTTTGACGAGGTGGCCCGTGAATTTTCAGAAGATAAGGCTCGACAAGGTATGTTACTTTCGACATAAAACCTTTCCTCGGTAGTTTTTGAGGGCTCACCTTTCTTTTTAGGCGGCGCTCTAGGCTGGAAAGTGAGAGGGAGTCTGCATGGAGACTTTGAGAAAATTGCCTATGATCTGGAACCTAGTACGACCGGAAATCCTAAATATGCAGAGGTGAAGACTGGACATGGATATCATATCATCATGGTGGAAGGGCGGAAGTGAGGTAGTCTCTCAGATGAAACTTTTTATGAGCTAAAATTCGATATTGCATACAACGGCAAGGATTCTAAACGTAGAAGACAACGCACGTTGTGGAATATGTGGTATATGTACACTGTAGATATTATATACTCTTCTCCAATACTGGGTACTGCAATTCCTGATCTCAAGTCGCAGATGTAGCTGCAACGGGAGTAGAGTACACATGGGCAACGGAAACCACAGACAATAAGTCCTTTGCGTAGCCGGCTGCAGTTGCTGAGGCGTATCCTTGCCAAACTTTGTTCTTGTGTGAATCTGCATAGTCACAAATACCTCGTATGACCAAGCAAGGAAAATTATCCATGAGTCCTGCTGCTTCCATCTCAAAGCATAGAACATCAAACTCCTCCGCTAAACGATCCCGGGTCATGCCATGCCGAATGACCTGGTTTCCCGAAGCGATAAGTCCATAATGTATCTTGGGACAGCTGGTCGATCGAGGAGGCCGTTCTATTTTTCTCTCTGGGTTGCATGCCTCGCATGTTGCTGCTAATCCGAAATGATCATACTCGGCCTCGAAAAGCTGATCCTGCTCCGGACCCAAACAAGCATAAGACGACCTCATCGATGGATTATTCTCCAACATCTTATCAATATGATGGGTTATCTTGTTATCGGCGATTAGGTGCTCTGTTCGTAACCTCGCTATTGCCGCAAGAAGAGCTGGTGGTGGTTTGTTTAAGCTTCCTGTCGTTTGGATTCTGTTTCCAACGTTTCTACCAAGGTCGTGTTGTATGACCCCTCCGAAATGACCAGTAGGACTGCTGACAACAACATCTCCTAGCCGAATATCGTTCTTCTCCGAAGGGACACCTCCACCTATTCCAACCATCAACCCAATTCGAATTCGCCTGAACGCATAGAGGATATGTGTGGCTACCACGGCGGCTGAGGTGGTGCCGTATACATTATGTGGCAAGCACGCCAATACAATGTTATGGGAACCAATCCGTCCTAGGATATACTGATTCGTATCACTCGGATGGATTGGGAGATCTGGGTGAACTTCCTCGAGCATCGCTTTCGCTGCTGCCATCTCTATCGGCAGAGCGCATATCCAAGCAACAGTGTAGTCATCGTGGGTATGCTCGGTATTTGAGCCCAGCCGTTGGTCAGTGCCAGATTGACTAATGGTGCGCTGTAATGTGTTGGTCGGATTTCGGTTGTTATTGATGTTCAATGTCGTCATCTCATCGTCCAGTCTTGATGCAATATCATCCAAGGGGACAGTGGAAGTACCAGAGGGAGTAACTATGCGTGATAAACTATTCACGTGGCGCTGTTCGATCGAACGAGCAAAGCGAAAGCTTCGATTTTTTGTTCCTTGAAGTTTGCCGTCAATCTGAACCGCTATTGAGAAAGGCTCCATCTCGTGCCGGAGGATGAGTGCAAGGCGCAGTCCACCACAGGATACCGCGTCCTCCACCAACCACTCTATTCGTCGAGGAAGACCACTTGAATCCCCAGCTAAGGGCCACGAGAACCCCCTTAATGACCAATCAGGCTCGGTACATGGGTTGAAGCTTCTTCTCGGTATGAAATTACTCGCGGAGGCCATGGGACTACCATGTTGGAGTGAGTATACATCATGCTCAACAAAACTGCCGAAACTTTGGGCGATCACCTTCCCTCCAATTTTTTGGGGTCCAAAGTAGTCAGTGATAACAGGACCTATCTGTCTGCGAGTTGTGTTGCTTCGATGATCAACATTCAGCGACTGGAATGTCACTTCGACCTTTGCATTGGCAAGGTAACAGTCCTTCGGCTGGCTGATCTTGACATCCAGATAGAGCAGCCAGGCAGGTGAAGCCGGGTCCTGCCCGATTATACACCCATTGCGAATCAGGTAAGAATGAGCAGTCAATTTTAACCTTTCGAACCTCCGTGTAGGCCAAACTCTGGCGGTGTTGTTGCAGCAGACATCGTGTATCCTGTTGGTACTTGTCGACACGGTGCTTCAATACGTAGCGGCTCCACATAGCGTTTTCGGTCTCATTTCTATTGCTCTTTCGGGAACAAAAATGCCTTGATCGAAGGAGAGAGTATTATGGATGAGGTTCGTGATCTGTTCGTGTCGCTAAACCCCGCACGTAAGCACACTGCACGATCTACCAATGGGCTCTCAGGCTTTGTGATTAACACGATAGGTAGACTAAAATAACCCCTCACCTCCCTGAACACCTGGACAGTAGTTCATCCCTACAGGTATCAGAAATATGGGGAAACCACCCGAGCCTGCGGTTCAAGAGACGACTCCATTCTCCTTGGCTATGGAGGTGGAAGAAGATATCGAGCAAGAAATCGAGAACTTCGTGCGGTTCAAGCGACGAGGCGAATACTTGCAGGCACAGGAGCTTTTTCAGCAAACCCTCTCCAGACACCTCACATTATTTCCGGTCATTGCCGAGTACGCAGATTTACTTCTGGAACAAGGCAAGTTTCGAACTCTATCAGAATTTCTGGATATCCAAATTCAATACATGGGGTCGATGCTTGAAGAGGAAGAAGTAGAATTGTTACGGATCATGAGATCCCTTGTCCGAATTCATATGATGGGAGCTTTACGCCCAGCTCTCGAGCAAGCTGAAATAACTTGGAGTTTTCTCTGTCGTCGGAGATTCGAGGTGTCTCCTGGTACACTTCCCGGCGATGTGGAGGTAGGATCTAGTGATGTTTCATATTATTGAGCCTATTGGATGATATTTCTATACTAGTATATTGACACCAGCAGATTCACATTTTCGAGGTCTACATCAAAATTCTTGTCTTTGCTTTTACCACCTCTAACTGGGTTGGGATCAATGACATGAAATGCCCATGGGTTCATCATTCTCCCGGTCGATGCGAATTTGTCCAGTGGTATGCAATGCTATTGGAAAATGGTCAACTGTGGAATGCCTCCAATATACTTGTCACTCTTCTGAAACTACTTCCATTTTTGGAGACCCAAGAAGTTGCTATCTTATTCAGAGAAAATTCCTTTGGCGAGGTGCAGAAATCTCAATCCTTGGTTGAACGGAGCGAGACAGAAAACTTGCTCATATTTACCGTTAGCTTCAATCGAGCACAAGCACTCCTGGATCTTGTCCTGGAGTTATATAGGCAGCGTGACTACGACAATGATGTCTACGAAAAGTTTTACGAATTTGCACTTGCTTACCATTTACTTGCGGAGGACTTGGTTGGAATCATATTTTCCGATAATCCACTCGGCTTAGGTACCGCCAGATACACAATTCAGAGAATGGCATTTGAGCAAGCTTCCAAAGTCTTTCTCAAGGAAATCCCGACGAAATATCGCACTGTGGACCTTCAACACTTCTCTCAGGATTTGCTTCGGCAAGACATGCAATGCTATATCATATCTCAACTGCGGCTTCTTTTCGATCGCCTCATGATTTCTTCCAATCCATACATCTCATATGACTTGAAGACTTTTCTCGACATTCAATTGCATACTCAAGGAGACTTCACAGGCTTTATTCGTACATGTGACCTATGCTATACCCTACCTCTTTGCGATTCGCCGGAAGCTGTGACATGCCTCTCCAGAAAAGCTTCGTTATCATCAGAGATTGACAGCTGCCTATTGCATTTCGATACAGAAAGCCAAATTTCTGCTCTCTGGCAGTCAATGCCAGTCTTCTCGAAGATGCTTGGAGTTAAGACAGAACGTGCCACCCAAAGTGAGAATTGCATTTGAATTCTGAGAATTCCGGAAAGACAAAGTGCAGTACTAATATTATACAGTGACTTTAAAAACATTTGATATCCCGCTTTATCGATTGGCAATCCATCGCAGCTCACGGGGTTTAAATTTAATGCTCAGAACCCGCGGTATGCTTGAAGAAAAACTGCCGACCTATGATGAAATATCCCTTCGAAACATCGAACGAGACTTGCCACTTTTTCATTGGGATCGCAAAAAGATTGGCAGGTTTGCCCAATTCATAAGTGAAAAACAGTCAGCACCAGGAGACGGCCGAAATATTTCTATTCTAGGGGACCCAAAAAACAGAATAAGAGAGAAAGACAAACCGAAGGAGAAATCTTCGGTGAAACAAAACTCTGCCCTCCAAAACTTTCGGCTCAGCTCAGCACCAAGATCTCATGCCGATCCACGAAGCAGCGATATCCCCGCGAACCTTCCATCCCCAGCCTCTAAACCCAAGAAGGAAGATATTACTTCTCGCATCTCTAGTATGTTGACCAGCAAGGGGGAAGAGAAGCAGGCCATGCCTCGGGATGGCTTTGCCAGGCCTTTTAGTATCTTAGGGACAAGACAAGTTAAAGGTCGGGGCTTCTTCTCCAACGATAAAACAGCCTTCAAAGATATCCCATACGGGATTCCGGTGTGGAATGGATTTTCAGGATGGTCCGGGGAAGAAGACGTCCTTGATCCGCAAAAAAGGCGTTTTGAGGCTCTTGGTGAAGGCATTCATCGACATTCCCTCCGAGACATAAGACAACAGAAAAGGCTACCCTCTCTTCTCCGCGACCCTATCAATGATGGCAGGAATCGTATCGATGATGGACTTGGGCCATCGCTCATCTCGGACCACGTCGAGCAGTACGAAACTACATGGCACAGAGCCCTTCCCGTCCCCGCCCATCACTACCGGACCCAGAGTATACGCGAGAGCCCGTTCTCAGCCTATTACCATGGCGACACTGGTCGGGGTGCTCGAATCATGGTCGAAAACTCTCGTCGTCACCTTCCAGAGCGTGTTGAGCAGTACTTTTACGATGATGATGATAGCACGGGAGATAAATTGGAGGATCAAATCTCAGACATTGAGCAATACCAAAGTGCTAAGGCAAGCTACTCTACCCCTGCTACGTCATCTATCCCAGAGATAGTGGATGATGATAGCAGCAGCAACAGCAGTCAGAAGAGCAGATTGAACAGCAGCTATGGAAAAGAAACTAGTTCCAAAAAAGGAGAAGGAAAAAACATCAGTCTTATGATGGACGGGATTCGACTCGGCTTCAAAGAAGAGGCGGTCCACGGCAAGATGATTAACATTCGAAGCGATGACGCGGGCGGTTTCCGCCTCAGTCTAGGAGAAAATGCAAACCGAAAGCCGAAAGGTCACTTGCCTGCCGGATCGGCCCACTCTGAAACGAATACTGCAAGCCGACAAGAGTCGGAAGATGCGTCACGAAATCGTGATGAACGACATTTGGAACAAGAACAAGACATCGTAAATGCCAGTGGATGCCTTCTTTGTGGCGTCACATCCATGAACAAAGGGGTCTTGACAAGACATCTCAAGGACCAGCATTTTCCTCAGTTCGAATACTCCTGTCCCGAAGAGGGCTGCCCAAGGACGCAACGCCGCAAAGATAAAATTCAAAACCACATTCGTACCCACGAGGGAATTAATCGTGAAAGCTTCATCACGAAAGAGTTTCCTTGTCCCGCACAGTGTGCCATATGCAAATTAACCACCAACAGCTGGGACGAGTTCTATGCATGCATCATTGGTCACCATAGGGTTGGTGCACAGCAGCCCGAGCGTGGTGTGCGACGAACCCTCGATGATCAACGTTTGGAACGAGGTGCATCAGACTCCTTAGACAGGACTGCCCCCAAATGGCCTCTATTTGAGAGGTACGGCGAGTTAAGGGAATCCATCGGTCACGGGAAATCCAGCAGCATCCGCATTGCGTACAAGAATGATCTGAGCGAGTCTGGAAATGAAAAAATATACGCCGTAAAGAAGTACAGGGAGCTTCCGCAAGAAACGCGCAAAGGGTATGAGAAGCGCTTAAACTCGAAGTTCAGTATTTATTCTGCTCTCCGTCACCCAAATATTGTACACTCTCTTGATCTATTACAGGATTCTCAAGGTGTTTTCTCTATGGTCATGGAATACTGCGCGGCTGGTGACTTGTACACTTTGATAACCAATGAGGGCAAGCTTGAGCCTGAAGAATCTGACTGCTTCTTCAAGCAGCTAATTCATGGCCTCGAGTATATACACGAAATGGGTGTGGCTCATCGAGATCTCAAGCCCGAAAGTCTTCTCTTGACTACCCAGGGTGCATTGAAAATTGCTAGCTTTGACCATAGCGAATGCTTCATGTTGGCCTGGGAGAAAAAAGCCCACCTGAGTTCCGGTCTCTGTGGCTCTGGCCCGTACATCGCCCCTGAGGAGTACTCTGGGAAAGAGTTTTATTCTTCCGTTGCGGACATATGGGCTACTGGATTGATATTTATGGCCATGCGCACTGGGCAATCTCTATGGGGGGTCTCTGGCAAAGATGATCGGTTTTATAAGCAGTATCTGGAGGATCGTAAGCACAAGAGGGGATATTCGCCAATAGAGAGACTACATCAGGTAAGCAGGCGCTTACTCAATTAAACAAACTTCGAGGATGATTGACTAACGACAACCCTTTTTACTTCCTAGGTCCCCTGTCGCAATGTGATCTACGCCATCCTGGATCCAGACCCTTCACGTCGCATCACTGCTTCACAAATACTCAAAACCGAGTGGGTACATCAAATCAAGCTGTGTGCTGCTGGAGAGGAAGGGCTTTGAAATAATTTAGCTAGACGAAGCGGTATGAAGAAATATGAATTGCAAATATGATGGCAGTAACCACACAGTAGGTGGGGAGGATGCATTGTATTGCTCGTATCTACATCCGTAACTCCGACATAGAACAGAAATTAAGAAAATTAAGAGAGTATTACAAAGGGCTCTAGTCTACTGCTCTTTCTTAGCAGCCTCCTTCTTAGCCAGCTCCTTCGCCTTTTTCTCCTGTTTCTGGACAACGGCCTCAGCACCGATGCCACCGAACACCAGACCAATACCCAGCCACTGACCAGCGGACAAAGCATGGCCGAACCAGAAGACACTCAGAAGCATCGTCAACATCTTACGCGTAACAGTCACCGTCACCAAAAGAAGAGACGAAAAGCGCGACAGCGTGTAGAAGATAAAGAGCTGGCCGACAGCTCCACACGCCGCGAATCCAAGAACATGCTTTAGAGCTTCGGGGTGGCGCGCGAGGAAAGAGATTGAAGAGTACAGCTCCGTCTCGGTGGAGGGTGGGATCGGGATCGGGAGGATATTGTGCAGGATACCGCTCTGCGAGAGATGTGGCATAATGAGAAGGTATGCAGCTGTCAAGACGGTGGAGAGCACGTTCTGCGCAACCATCATCTGGGGTCCCGTGAAGCGGGTGTACAGCTTCGGAGAGGAAAAGACATGGTCTTGCGTTGTATTGGTCAGACCATCGAGGAGTAGATTAATGGACAGCAAGAAAATGCCCCACGCCGAGGAACCGGACTGGTTCGAGGCTGAGGCGGCGACTTTCTTGCTTGTGCCCGGGTGGTGCAGGGTGAAGGTTGCCACGCCCAGCGTCACGAGAAGAACGACACCATACTTGTACAGCGGGTATTTCTTGCGGAAGATTGTCAGGTGGAGAAGCATGACCGGTAGCAGCTTGCAAGACTTCGCGAGAATGAAGGTGAGGTAGTCGATATGAGCAAGACTGGCATAGCCGAATGGAGAGGCGAGGGACGAGGAAATGCTGACGAGGAGCAGGGGGAAGAGAATGCGGCGGGTTGGGAAGGGAGAGGGTGTTTTCTGGCCCTTGGGCGTAGAGAAGAAGAGATAGATGAAGCCCGTGATGGCAGCGAACGAGGATTGGACAGTGTTCAACACCAGAGAGTAGGTGAATCGCTCAGTAGGGGGCTCTGGTTCGGCGGCGGTTGCGGCGCGAATGGGGTAGGAGGTGGTGGTGATCGCCTCTTGCAAGACACCCCAAGAGAGGCTTTGATCTATTAGTTACCGGTGGTATACCTGGGTTTAGACGAATCACTTACAATGCGGCGTAGATACCGAGAACGCAGATGAGAAGTTGGGTCAAACCTGGAGTATCGACCTCCGGTTCCGACACAGCTTCTTCCTTGACAGGCACACTGGCATTGGCGTCCGAGCCCCCTGCGCTTCCATTTGTGTTCTTCTCGGCGACTTCGGGCTCATTAGGGGACATATGCATGAGTGAGGACGAGGGGGGCTCGCTGGAGCGGCGTTGTTTGCTTCTGGCGGCCCATTGTGATGGACTTGAGACGGAGGCGAAGGGTTGAATGATATGGGTACAAGGCGCACGAAATCAATCAGATATGCAAAAGAAGGGAAATATGCGAAACGAGAAGCAGAGAGGGGGTAAACGAGAGGCTTTCCCTTAGACCCTTGAAGCTTAAAAAAAAAGATGATGCCATGTGTTCTTAGTTCCATCTTATCGACGCGCAGATCACTCCGGCCCCACTCCACCGCGCCCTGCAGAACTGCGAACTCCTGCGAGAAAAAGACACATAGATCTTTAGATATTCACAAAAGAGGTGAAATAACTTCATTTTTGAGTCCAGGCCATATTAAACAAATCATTGAAATTCAATCCTCTCAGAATTGAAGCTTCCCACTGTTCTACATTGATATACAGCCTATACTGGCAGGCGGTGTCCATAAACTACTGTATAAAGAAAGCGGTGACTAACAAATTGCCAGACATCGACAAATTTACTGCGGAAACAGTCATGACTAGCAGCAACCAATCACCAAGACCTCTCAAAAGCTCCGACTCCCCAATAGCAACCAACAATAGCTCAAAATGACCACAAAACGCATCGAGAATCCAATCCCCGAGCTCTCCCAGCTCAGCGAGCTAATAGACTCAACGTCCGCCTCCACAAACCCCCAAGCAGCAACAACCCTTCAAATCCTGCACAACCTCCAACATCAACACCTCTGGACATCCCTCCAAATCCACGCATCGCCCTCCAATAGCACAAACTCAGATTCCCAAGAATCGCGTCCGCCATTGATCTCCGGTATCCCCCCAAATCGCGTCTACACCCATCCAGACGAACAACTATACATGTTGGAGCAGGGTCTTCGTGAAGATGATCTCCGCCCAGAAAGACTAGTTGTGATCCCCACTGCGCAGGGCCAGAACTGGTCTCTTCGCCGTATGGCTGCGGTTTTCGATGCGCTTGATGAGATCACAATTACCACCGAGGATGATGAAGCGGACTTGGAGACGCGGCCTCCTGTTGAGGGTGACAAGGCGCAGAAGCTGGAAGAGTATTACCAGCGCAGGGAGAAGGCCAATGCTACACTGGAGTGGGGTTCGAAGCGGGTGCTTTTGGGAATGGTGAATAAGGGAATGGGTGGTGACGGGACGGTGGTTTATTATATTGTGCAAGAGGGTGAGGTCAAGCCTCGACAGAACTAAAGTCGAGTAAATGACGATGCCTCACACCCGCTCTGCCTCGCTACATTGTGAGGTTGGTATATGAAGTGGAAAGAGCAATTGGGTTATTTTGGATTGTTGCTCTCGAACATATTTGCTAGAAAGCGAAGGGTCGGTACCAGTATGTACACCGACAATAGATCCACGAAGCACGCATCATGGCGTGGCCGCCGGGTATTATATGCAAAGGACAAAGAGCTGCAAAAAAGTTTCATGTGCGATGGGGTTTCAGGGTAGCGAAAGGGTGGGAGCCTCAAACAAGCAGATTTTCAGCTCCATTCTGCAGGGCCTGCTCTTGCTCCAAACGACAGCTTGAGCAATACCTGTCGTACCATTCTGTCACGCTGCCGGTATTTTCAGCAAAGATGCGCTCTGCTTGGGCCTGTGCGCCTGCTTCACCCTCTTCGCTATTGCCACTCAGGAGAAGTTCGACCTGTCGACAACGTCGTAGCTCTTCGCGGAGCCAGCGTTCCCATTCGTTCTGAACGACTTCTTTCTCGATGCTGTTCACCACGCGCAGAGCAACGAGAAGATTGTATCGGTATGTGCCAAGACGCTCCCGCGTTTGCTGGAAGCGCTTAGCGGCGCTCTTGGCCACTGCGTCTCTAAGCCCGGAAGTGCTGAGGGAAAGGGGGAGTTCTGAATAGCGCATGGAGTTCTCGTGGAACGTACTGAAACACGTGCTGGCGTTTCCGTTGCTGGGCCAAATTGTCGTGTTGGCAATTGCCTCGTCGATATCTTGGATGTAAATCGCCTTGCTCATGACCAGGTTCGGCTGCACTCCAATTCGAGCCATGAAATTGCTCGCGTGTCTCTCATGCCACCAGTCCCAGGTATCGCGAGACGAGTAGAATCCATTCATGAGCGCACTTGATATCAGCAAGACTAAGATGACTTTGTGGGCGCTCACGGTCTTCCAAGACCAGCGCAAGATGTCAAACGACGCCAACATCAAGAAGGAGATGGTGCTTTCCATGAAGGATAGGAATGTTTCCAATAGCAGCTGGTGCATACTCCGCTGGGTTCGCCGTTTGCGAGGCTCCAATTTCAAATTGGCACCAACTCCTGCAAAGTGGGAAACGCTATTCTGACGTCCAACATGGCCGAATATAGTGATAGCCTTCTTGGTGCGACTATGTGCACCAAGGCGGCGGACCTGATCATTCACAAGGTCGACGAGATCTAGGGCATCTTGTTCGAGATCGTCGCTCGCTTTCTTGCTGATCATATCTAGAACAAGGATATTAGGCAAGGTTTGAATACATGTCAGCAGAATATGCACTTACTCTTCAGTCCGAGTGGAGACTTAAGCCACTCGACCTTGGTGTAGATAGCAAGTTTGCTCTTGGATTTCGAAACGAATGTAATCACGACCTTGCTCACCAGCCGGAAAGATCTTCGGAGTGGTAGATGCCACGGCGTGCGTTTGTCAGTAATAACATAGCACAGATGATCATTCAAGACATCAATGATTTGGTAATCCAATATGTCGTTGTCATTGCATTGGCCTAGTTGAATAATTTCGATCAGCACAATTCCCTTCTTGTTCATTGGATGTATGGATGTATTCACCTAAGGCGTTCGTCGTTGCGATCGTATAGTTGATGTCTCGCCTAAGATGCCGGGATTCATTGCTCGCCCAAGGCCCTTGTTTGATATCTGCAGAAGGAGTGAGTATTGATAGACCCCGCATAGTAGACCCAATTTTTCTTACCTCGAGCTTCTCTCTCATGGAGCATAAGCTGCCAAACAGCACTCTTGTCACCGAAGAGAATGTGGAAGAGAGCCTTAGGACTAATATCCAAAATCTTCTCAACTGCTAATTTCAGATCGCCCTGGGGGACATATTCGACAGGTTGAGTAGGAAGTCTGAACTTCGGAATGTTCTGCCCACGACCTTTACCACCATCAAGGTCAAGATCCTTGTCGATATAGATTGGAACACGTAGGTCCTTCCCGTATCCGTGGGCAACAAGATTGTTGTCACCCTTAGACTCCCCAGGGCCAGAAAGGTCTTCCCAGCTATCTACGCTTGAAGACCTCTTCGTAGGCCCACTGTCCAGTTTTATCAGATCCCTGATAACATTCTCCACGCTCATAGGCTCAACTGCAATTGATCCTTGAATCAGGTAGCTGAGACGTTTCTGAAGCAGCCGAAGAGGCTCCAGGAAAGTCTTGATTGCGATCCTTCCGGGGGTGTCACTTCCCAGGGGAGGAATTGTGTGCAGGAAAAGGAAATCACAGTCTCTTCCTGGGGCCGCTGTCACTTCTTTGATGCTCTCCAATGAGACGCTGGTTGTTAACACCAGTCCATAGTGGTGGCTGTAGAAGTAAATGTTTTCGGTTGTGACATAAGCTCTGCCAGGGAATTCTTGCTGGTCGTTTGGACTCCAAGTTGCCCTAAATACCAAGACCAAGGACTCCTCTCTTTTGACATCGGGGAAAAGCAATCGGAACTGAGAATCCTGAATTTTCAGTTGTTGAGGATAGTTAGCAGGGTACTCCTGTGGAGCAACACCCACAGCGGCCTCCACGGCAGCCTCAACGGCAGCTCGCTGGAGCTTGGATGCGTTTCCATCCAGGCTCACTGTCTGTCTATGGCGTGGCCCGCTCGGTTGCCCAGAGGTTGGGGGAACAGTCGGTTTATCTGGGTGCACAGCAAAAGTTCGTTTAGAAGAATCACTCTTCGCCGACGAAGGTCGATCTGATATCGATTCATGGTCCCCATCGGGATTCTCTCGTTGGAGCTTATTGATGAAACCCCAATTCGAGCTACCCCATAGATTGGCCATCATACCACTAGGCATGCCACCCGTGCTGTCAACGTGTCCTAGCCCTATGCCCCTTTCATTACTCACGACCACGGCAGCTTTACTCATACTTGTTGGAGCAGGCGGGTTTGCAAGGGTACCAGGTGCCAGATTTGCCCCAGGTTCCTCAAGATTGCTCAGGCTGCGGCCCCTATGTTGACCATTCTCGGCCACATTGACCGAAGCAGCGCCAGCATAGGGAAGGACGTTGTGGCTAGCCGAAATAAGACTTGCTATTCCACTTGCAGGGCCGGGGATTGAAGGGGACGTAGGCGCCGCGTTATTAGACTTGCGATGAAGATCCAGCTTCTGAATAATTCGGTTCGTATGTTCCCGGGCGTGATCTCTGGTCGATCCCTCATGGTCCAAGCCGGTCAGTCTGCGGCCTCCCACATCGGAGCTCTTTCTGAAAGCCTCGTGATCAGGAACAGGCAATGTTGAGCTGCGCTCGGTGCTACTTGGCTCATCGGCCGTGTGGGGCGTCAGCGAATCGGTTGGATCTGCTGTGAATTCCGGCGCAGGAGGCTGAGAGATTGAAAATGCGGGATCTTGGACGGTCACTTTGCCGGAAATCGACATATCAGTGCTAGAAGGATTCTCCAAGGCTTTCTGCTTAGCAGCCTCAATGGCACCAATCCACTCCATCAGTTCCTTTTGTGTTTCCGCCTGCAGGACTATGGTGCTGTTCTTGGTTTTGATCTGGAAACAGAAACGACGTTCTTCCTGGAAAGCGGGACGGACGCTGCACAGCAACACGCCGATCCGTTCACTCTCTTCGACACCGCCAGTCCGAGCACCCTGCACAAGACATCCGATGATACCATATTTCAAGAAAACCCATCGTCTCACCCATACTGTTCGAGTCGGTTTTCCGTATTGGGTGCGCAAATTGACCCAGCCTTGTTTTTCTGGTCTGGCATCCTTGCCCATGTTCAATGTTGACAGTGGCCGAGATCCGAGATACGGAACTGTGGAAATGGAGTAATCCTCGAGTTCACGGGATGGCCGCGCCGCCACTTCCGCAGCTTCCTCGATTTGTTTTCTGGTTGCAAAAAGTTCGCGCTTAGAAGATCTATCACTAGCCTCCATTTCGTGGACCCAACCCTTGACACGATCCATCTCATTCGACCACTTCGAGAAGGTCGCGCTATTATTATTATGGAAGGAGCGGAATTCGCGCCATTGATCGAAAGAAATGCGAACCAGGAGCCGGTCTAGTGCATTGCGAGTCTGAGGGGCCTGGACCGAGAAATCGAGTGACGTCTTCAGGTAGATCTTGCGGGCTTCATGCAGCTGGAAAGCTTCCTCTCGCAGGCGGAAGTTTCCTTGGACTTGGACTGAGCAGCATATCGGGCTTGCAAGTAATCGTACGACTTTTGCGCGTGTTCGAGGGCTCGACGGTTCTCCTATATCGATGTCAGATCCACATCAAAACACGGCCCCAAAGCCACCTAATTGTCCCGGTTCCAGGCGGAAATTACCTTAAATTGTCGCAAGTCTTCTTGAACGAAGGCTCGGATGGGCTCGGCGATCATCGATTCCATCTTCTTTGTCGTCGCAACCAATCCACTCCACAGGTCCTTTGAGCCTTCCCCACATCTCCTCATCGCCAACAGAGTGTAATCATGATCAACAACGGCCTCGGAGATCACCAGCGGGTGCGTGGAGTAGGAGAGGAAGCTGCCGACTACGCTCTCCAGAGTGTTCAGCTCGGAGGCCAGTTTGGTCGCAGCTTTGGCGTATCCGTCAAGCCATTTCTCGACAAACTCGATCTGATCGCAGAAGTGGTGGGTGGTAGCGCGGAAGGTTGGGGAGTCGAGGGCGGCCTCTTTGAGACCAACCGGCCTAGAGTAAGAAACATAATGTTAGCATTGATAGGTTGGTTGAGATACGTCAAGACATACACGACGCTCACGAGCTTCCCGACTGGGGGTAACGGGGTGGTTGCTTGAGTCGACATCTAGTGCATGCCTCCACCATACACTCAGACGCGAACAAGAAAGAATAGACACTTGAGATGTGTCAATCGAATATTGTTTGGCGAATAGAATGAAGGAAAGAAAAATATGTCTAGAGAGAGCTTTCCCATGTGTTGTTCAGTTGAAGTGAGACCCTCCAGCCTGGACTAGACTGGACTGGACTTGGACTGATGATTTAATTGGCTACGTCAGGGCGGGTACATGAGGAAGTTCAGGCAGTCAGGCAAACACATTCAAAGGCGGTGTGCGAATTTTTTTTCTTTCTGCCGAAGCCTGCCCGCAAGGTCTGCCCAGATTTGGAGAAGAGTTCAATATTCAACACACCGAAACAATGGAGCCTCCTTCGAAAAAGATGCGCAAGCTTTTGGACGACGATAGCTCAGACTCCGGCGATGATGCCGGAGGTGTCTCTCTTGGAAAGTCGCCCGAGTCGGGCTTCAAAGTTAACGCTGAATATGCCAAACGGTTCGAGTACAACAAAAAGAGAGAAGAAGTCGCGAAACGTAAGATTACCAACGAGCATTGCTTGGTGTTTATTTTCTTGTCTTTTAGAATATACTAATAAATCGATTTATCATATAGTGGAGGCAAAATACGGCAAGTCCAACTTGGGCAAAGGCCCAGCCAACGAGCCTTCCGACGAAGAGTCCTCCGACGAGGACGAGGATGAGGATGGAGAGCTAGCTACCAAGGCTCTTGATGCTGAGATCCTGGCCACCCTCAAGGCGATTCGATCCAAGGATCCCGCCGTGTACGACAACAATGTGACTTTCTACACCAAGTTCGACGAAAACGCCGATGCCGCCGATGCCGCCCCCAAAGAAAAGAAAGAGAAGACGATGACACTGCACGATTACCACCGCGAGAACCTGCTGAAGGGACTTGACCCGGCTGAGGAGGAGGACGATACTCCCAGAACCTTCGCGCAAGAGCAAGCCGACCTGAAGAATGAGGTCGTCAAGGCCATGCACGAGGGCTCAGATGATGAAATGGATGATGCGGATGACTTCCTTGTCCGCAAGTCTGGTCCCGAAGAGCTCCCGGAGGAGAAGGTCGAGCTTGATATCGAGAATGCCGACAAGGACCCCGAGACCTTCCTTTCTAACTTCTTGTCTGCACGCGCATGGATCCCCGAAGGTGGACGAGAGCTCAATCCTTTCGATTCGGACGACGAAGATGAGATGAAGCGGGCAGATGCTATGGAGGAGGCCTATAATTTCCGTTTCGAGGACCCGAACAAGCTCAACGAGGTGCTTGTCACCCACGCTCGTGACACTACCAACGACCTTTCCGTCCGTCGTGATGAGAAGAGCGCGCGCAAGAAGCTGCGTGATGCTGAGCGCCAGCGCAAGGAAGAGGAGAAGAAGCTACGGGAAACGGAGAAGAACCGTCTCCGTAAACTCAAGACGGAGGAGCTTCAGACAAGGATCAACGAGATCAAGGAGGTTGCCGGTATGCAGGCCGAAAATTTTACTGATGAAGACTGGGCTAAGTTCCTGGACGGCGCCTGGGATGGCGAGGAGTGGGAATCGGAGATGCAGAAGCGATTCGGAGAGGGTTACTACGCCGGCAAGGACGCTTCTGGAAAGAAACACCCCAAGAAGCCGGAGTGGGATGACGATATTGACATCACCGATCTGATTCCCGACTACAAGGATGACGATGAGAACGCCAGGCCTACCATTGAATCCGACAACGACGAAGAGGAGGGTGAGGGTGAGGGCGAGGGCGAGGACTCTGAGCCTAAGAAGAGTAAAGCCCAGGAGAAGCGTGATCAGAAGCGCGAGGCTCGCAAGGACCGTCTTCGCATTGACGAAGCGGTTGACCGCAACCTTGATCTCGACATCACCCTGCTCCCCGGTGCCACCAAGAAAAATGCCACTCGTTTCCGCTACCGTGAGACCTCGCCACAGAGCTTCGGTCTTACTGCGCGCGATATTCTCATGGCGGACGATAACCAACTTAATCAATTCGCCGGTTTGAAGAAGTATGCTGCCTTCCGTGAGGCCGAACAGAAGGCCAAGGATGAGCGGAAGCTGGGCAAGAGGGCCCGAGTTCGTCAATGGCGAAAGGACACATTCGGCAATGAGGAGGGACCTGCTTTCGAATTTGGCTCTGGCAAGAAAGCCGAGGAGAAGAAGGATGTGGATGTGGATGAGACGAAACTCGACATCCGCGAGGGTGATGGACGGAGAAAGAAGAGAAAGCGTTCGAAGAAGAACTAAGCGCGGGCGCCAAAAGCTGTCATATTGTCAATAACTTGTCATTGGGTAACTGGAGTTTATTCAGGTTTATGTATCTATTTGAATCCATGATATTTCACGAGGACTTGTGCTGTACTCCAACCCTGGACTATAGAGCTACTAAATAGTACTAGTACCGAGTTCACGTTACCTACTAGGGTAATATAAATATCCATTGGATTGTACTATTTTCTATAGACACTGTATCGGATACCGTATTTCAAACTTGCAACTTGCAACCGTGATTTGAAGGAGCAGCATTGGAGGCCGGCATGATGGTACTAGTACCTACCTATCAATTAATAGTACCATTTTGGACTTGAACTTGAATATATATCCAGCATGCACGCACCTGAGCAAGACCTCTAGGGCTCCAGGGCTGTTACTAGCTGCCCAGGTACCATTATACATGTAGCATTGACCACTTGGATCAGCTCAAGCCTGCTATTACCTAGTATGAATTTCCAAAGTACACCTTTAATAAATACCAGTACGGAGTAGTAGTATCCAAGATGTGAGGTACAGTATGCTGAAGTCCATAGTGGACTGCAAGTGGATCCACCCCTGGCCTTGTCGGTGGTACATCGCACATGCGGCTCACCTCCACTGTAAACCTTGTACCCGGAACATAAATAGCAGCATAAAATGTCTCATACTGGACTGCGATTGGCAATAAGGAGCCCCTACATGCAGTACGGAGTGTACCGAGGACATTGAACCGCCCGAAAGGGTATCACATCGCCTGCAAGGTTACCACGGTAATAATATGCAAGAGATACCGACTAAGCCGATCGAGCCGATTTACTACGACAGTCGGGAGTAGCTAGCATGTAGGTCACGACTAGCATATGTATCTACTGCAGCTGATAGCTGGAAACAAGTCTCCGAGCTAGCTACTACATATAGTATGTACATTGTAGACAGACAGCTGAAATTGCCTCCGCTGCACTAATCACGAGCAGGTGATATCAAATTCCTCCGGCTAGAACCAATCTAGGAGTACAGAGTACAAAGGACGAGACTCCGTAGGGAGTGCCCTATGCCCTGGCTCGGGACATGAACCAAGTTTCTGGACCTGAATTTGGCCAGGACTCGGATACTCGGGGGAGGAAAAAAAGGAGGTGCCCCGTGTGGAGGCTCGGCATTGGCTGGGGGGCAAAATACGTACCCATACATGGTGTCCACCTACCGCGCTTGGGCGCCGTTGCTCCGGACTACGCAGGGTTTTCAAGGAGGACGAGGAAGAGAAGGAGATATTGGGAGAATTGAAGATTTTGGGAGGGAATTACCTGGGTAAACTTGGGGGTCAAGGGTGTGTCTGTAGATCGAGAATATAGAGAATAGTCATTTGATACAGATTTCCTCCTAGACATTCCTCTCCCACCCTCCCCAAACAAGCCACGTCGCACGGATTGAAAAATTTGCATGGCAGCGATCGGGAGAATTCGGCCTGCCGGGCAGACCAGCGACCAGCGAGACATGGGCAATACCACCAGATAACGGTAAATTACGGTAAGAATCATCCTGATTGGGTGTTAGTGGCCTTCCGTCGCTTCTGCCGCTGGTATTTTTGTCGCCCCCTTCCGCCCCGGCACCCTTCTTCTTCTTCTTTTCTTCCTCATCCCCGTCTTTCTTGACACTCCCCATCTCCTCTCTCTTTTTTTGTTGTCGCATTCATCTTTTGCACAACCTTTCACAATGGCTACCGGTGATGTTAACCAGGGCGACAAGTCCGTTTTCGGCATGCCCGTAAGTTCTACCTCTTTTTACCCTCTGCCCCTGCCATCATATCCAGGTTTTTGCGACTCCGTCAATTCGAATGCATCATCAATCCGATCTCGATATCCATCTTCATCGGAAGATGCTTCGAATTGATGGGCTTTGCTCGACCGGACAATGGCTCACGGGTGCAATTGATCAAGATTTGAGAGGATAAACATGCTGACGAAAATTTTTTCACAGGGCTTCGTTGTCGACTTCCTGAGTACGTACAACACTTTTACATATCCGCTCTTCACATCGGATTCACAACAATCAATGCACTCCATGACCAGCTACTAACTGATTCACAGTGGGTGGTGTTTCCGCCGCTGTCTCCAAGACCGCTGCCGCCCCCATTGAGCGTATCAAGCTCCTGATCCAGAACCAGGTTGGTCAATCTTCAATCTATCGAATCGCTACTCGCCATGGACATTGCAATGAAATACCTTCAATCCTTCGTTGTGACTCAACCGACTGGCCTTGCACCTTGATGTGATAATGGCCCAGTCGTCTTGTCTTCAGCAAGGGTTGAAGAATTTTTCCGCGTCCGTGCTCGGCAGTAGTCGCGTTTTTGTCGATCGGTCACTAATCCGATTTTTTTTCATCTAATAGGATGAGATGCTCAAGGCTGGCCGTCTGTCCCACAAGTACGCCGGTCTCGGTGACTGCTTCAAGCGCACCATCGCCGATGAGGGTATGGTTTCGCTCTGGCGCGGTAACACCGCCAACGTCATCCGTTACTTCCCCACCCAGCCCTGAACTTCGCTTTCCGCGACACCTACAAGTCCATGTTCGCCTACAAGAAGGAGCGTGATGGATACGGCAAGTGGATGATGGGTAACCTGGCCTCCGGTGGTGCTGCCGGTGCCACTTCCCTCCTCTTCGTCTACTCCCTGGACTACGCCCGTACCCGTCTGGCCAACGACGCCAAGTCCACCAAGGGTGGCGGTGACCGTCAGTTCAACGGTCTCGTGGATGTCTACCGCAAGACCCTTGCCACCGACGGTATTGCCGGTCTCTACCGTGGTTTCGGTCCCTCCGTCTTCGGTATCGTCGTCTACCGTGGTCTGTACTTCGGAATGTACGATTCCATCAAGCCCGTTCTCCTGGTCGGCTCTCTCGAGGGCTCTTTCCTCGCCTCCTTCCTGCTCGGCTGGACCGTCACCACCGCTGCCGGTGTTGCCTCTTACCCCCTTGACACCATCCGTCGTCGCATGATGATGACCTCCGGTGAGGCCGTCAAGTACTCTTCTTCCCTCGATGCTGGTCGCCAGATCGTCGCCAAGGAGGGTGTCAAGTCCCTGTTCAAGGGTGCCGGTGCCAACATCCTGCGTGGTGTTGCCGGTGCCGGTGTCCTGTCCATCTACGACCAGGCCCAGCTCCTGCTCTTCGGAAAGAAGTTCAAATAGATAACTCGCCCTTAAAAGCGGATTATCTAAACACCTGTAGTCATACTGGGGATGGGGATGATACCCTGCTCGGTATAGCCGGGTGATGGGGAAGCAGAGGTTGCTGGACCTGCAAAAGATAGATGCGTCAAGAAATGGGTCTGGGGGATCTTGAAGCATAGAATGGTGTGATTCTTCCCTTTTTGTACCCGATGTACTTTACTGCCTGCAAACTCTTTTTCTTTTCTTCGATTGTATATGATCCAGTGCATTTGTAAACGAACGCGTAAACTGTAGTCAAAAGATGACATTGAGGCCACATCCTCTAATATCTGAATTACCTGCATTACCTGTCGTTCGACAATATACTTCAAGTACCCGATTATCCTTATCCTTCTGCCTGGGTGCCGGATGTGGCAATGTGTTTAAGATGATCTGGCTTCATCGGGATATCGTAGAATGGTAGTAATCGTAGTAATTGCACATGACATGGGCACTATTATTCACCTGGAGTATTATTCACCTGGAGAATAAGTTTGATATCCAAAATTTATACCCCAAGTGCTCCAAGTCCCCAGTCTTCGTCAACAACAGCAGTTCATCCGCGCTCCACGAAAAGTCCCAAAGCGGCGACCGCCCCACTGCGGCAGGCGCATGACGTCTGGGGCTCGAGCTCCTTGAAGCTCCCTTTCTCCCTCTCTCTCTCTTCCTTCTTTCAACTCCTCAATATTCAAAAATCCAAGTCAAAATGTCCGGCATACAGACCTACACCTCCGCGCCCCTCAATTCCAACAAGGAAGAGGATCATACTCCTACCCAAGCAACCACCTCAAACCCCGAACCCGCCACCGCAACCGACACTTCAACAACAGCAACCACCGATCTCCCAAACCCTTCAGCACCAGCTACAGCCACAGCTCCATCCTACTCTCCTATCCCTGCACCAGCGCAGAATGCCCAACCAGGCGCCGCTTCCAGCTTCCCAACACCAACACAAGCATCCGCCACTGCTGCCCCAACAGCAAACTTAACTGGCACTCCAACAACCACCCTGCCACCAACCTCGTCCTCCCCAGCACCACCTCAACCCGGCGCCGTCCCAACCGCAACACCTCCAAACCAACAAGCACAATCCCCCGTACCCCCTCCACCAAAAGCAGGCGAAGCCATCCCCCAACATCCTCCCACCCACCCAACAGCATCGGCGCAGGCGCAGGCACAGGCACCACCGGCCGCATTCACACAGTCCTACTCCTTCCACCGCTCCCCACAGTCCCATCACACCCCAAACTCAACCTCGTCGCCCTACGCAAATCTATATAACCCCCCATCCGGCAGCTCACAGCCCGGTCTCCCTCTGCATAGCGGTGGGGGTGGTGGTGGCAGCGGTGGCGGCGCGGGGGATATCTTCCCTGACGAAGAAGAGGGATTTATGGGGACGGCTAGGTCGTGGATGCAGAGTGCTGGGACGAAGTTGGCGGAGGTTGAGGCGGAGGTTTGGAAGCGGATTAATGATGCACATGGGAAATAGGTCTGTACGGTAATGTGATGTGAGCTGGGGAGGGATGTGAAAGCTTTGTGCTTCTTTCGGAATTGTTATGTTATGTCTCGAGAGATATGATCGAGTTGATGGTTCTTATTGGGAATTTGTTGCTTTATTGGGCTAAGAGGAGGCCGGCGTTTTTGTTTTTATTGGTCTTTCCTTTCGGGCAGAAGGGCTTTCTCCTGGGTTGGGTGGTGAATGCTTCGGGTCCGGGAGGTTTGATTGGAATTTGTATATGGTCATGCATCTCTGCTTGAGTTTTTAGCTTCTTGGTTCAAACACACCTCAGCTTGGCTGGTACATGTTTTCGACTTAAGTCCGAATCTTGGAAATACAGTATAAAGCTCAGAAGAATGAAACGATGCAGAGTCGCACTGCGAAAACTCAATGACCGGATCTTCTTGATCTGCTCCGCTCCATGTGTACCTCCTTATTTAGGTATACTTCCAACTTGAAGGTTGTCATGGCATCCTCTCTGCCTTCTCTGTCTTCGCACATTGGCAGCTTCAGCCTTACGTGATAGCTCTACGAGATGGTACATGGTAATGCAACCTACGAGACTCTAAGCTAGTTATATCAATGTTCCCCGTCAATATTGCGCCGGTGTGATCTATTGAATATAATTTGAATGCTGCACACCACTACTTGATATAGTATTGAGCGCACACCACCTCTGCTCAATCTGCAAACGAAAACGACTCCCAGTACCAATACGTAGCCCCTCTTACCCAGGAACTCAATTCTAGAGGACCCCGGGCTTAAGGTACCTAGGGGAGCCCAAATATCTACTAGTGGCGAGTTTCGCCAATCAATCTACCCAATATCATGAGCTTGCTCCCCTCAGAACGTTGTCCTTTCTCAAATCCGGCCTGCATGCGCGTCCTTCCTACCTCGCAAACTCGTCGCTATACTAGTAGTCAGTATACATTATTTGGATTGACATTTATCTAAATTGACCATTGAAGTTTGCCGAACCGTTTCCTCCGTAATAGTATGCTAGATCAGGCTTTCTCGATAAAAACAGGTTGCTGCTATGTGGAACTTGTGTAGTAGCTGCTAGTAGTATATTGATGCAGAGGATGGTAAACTTGAATTGCGGCTACAGAGGTCTCATTTGGTTAATGACTTACAGTCAGGATTAGATAGTACATTGACAGGGCATATAATGCTGTCTTTGATGAACCTTTAGAAAATGATCACCACTGGCAGCTGCGTTGTAAATAAAATGCTACTACTAGTACCAGTCAATCTACGGCTACGAAAAGAAATTGACCACAGAAGAATAGTTTGAGGGTGTTCAATTCGAAATGGATATCCACTATTTGGATTTATCCCTAACCTAAGACAGACAGACACAAACCAGTGCCCGCAAATATGTACGTATCCACAACGTCGGACTCAATTCCAAACATACCGGGCACACACAACCCAGACGAGAAGAATCAAGAATGAAGTATCAAGGATAGAAACTCTCAGTGAAATCAATTAAGATGACCGAGAACCAACCAGAAACAGAAGATAAAGCCAGACAAAGATCACAAAAGAGTGAACGTGTATGCCAGTGCAGTGCAATAAAGACGACCGACAAGCTCGTTTTCTTCCGAGATTGAAAGACATTCTGTTCATGACCAGGATAGAGTGGAGTGCTCAGGACACATAAGATGACAAGTATGAATCCGAAGAGGACAATATTAGAAATAGTGTAGGATCGAAAAAGGTCGTGAGAGATCCGATGGGTATGGTTGAAGCCCCGGATCTGCATATGCAGAGAAGTGATTGCGGAAAATAGAAAAGAATAGTCAAGTTGAAGGGGGTATTTGTGCTTTTCAAGTTGCAGCAGGGTTCAGTAGCCAGCAGGGCTGCGGTGGAAGCGCAAAATAATGGGAAGGCAGGAAGAGCATTCCCAACGCCGTTGTTCCCTCCAAGAACCATGTCGTAGGGTATGGAAGATTGACATGTTCGGCATGTCTTTTCTGACGAAGACACAATCGTAACAAAAAGAAAAAAAAAAACGGAGAAGCACGTCAAGAGTGGTCCGGACCAGCCTTGGCAACCCAATTATAGGTAAAAACGACAAAAAAACGTGTATCCCCGGAAAACTCAAGAAACTCCGTGAACGAGGAAACCCAAAACGCCGATCATGAATGTGGATAGAGAGGCTTTACATGGAGCCCAAGCGGAGTAGCGCCTCTACCGCGGCGCGTTCCTGAGTGTCAAAAGTGCGGGGCGGCTTCGCGTCGGGAGTGGGTCCGCCGCCAAAAAACCCAGCAGGAAGAGGCTTCGCTCGAGCTGCAACATTGCTGCGAACGAAAGGACCACTAACACCACCCCCGTTGAACGAGCGGGCGCGCAGGGCATCCGCGCCGATCTGAGCCCAGTCTTCCTCGTCCGTGTCCGTGCCTTCATCGAATTCGTCTTCCTGCATCTCATCCGGCGCTTCGGAGGAGGAACAGTACTCCAGCCCGTCTTCGCCGTCCAGGGACATCTTGTCCGCTTCGTGTTCGAGCATGTCGAGGTCTCCAGGTAGGTAGTCCTCGGTATACGAGAAGGCGGTAGAGTCCATGCCAGGTGCATATGAATACCGACGATCGTTGACGCGACCTTCGATTTGCAATCCACGTTGCTGGAACGAGCCTACAACGCTGGAGGGAGGCGAGGAAACGTCGAACGAGCGTTCACGTGGAGACTCCCCGCGTCGTCGCGCGTCCCAACGTCCCCAGCCAATCTTCTCAAAGATTACATCGCCCTTCGTGCCACCAGCCTCGCCGCCATTCCCACGGCCTTCGAGTGCCGCGACAACCAGACGCCGTGCTTTGGCAGGAGGGATCCCTGAGAATCCCGGCACCGAAGTTGTCAGGTGGCCCATGACATGACGGATGGCCAGAGGACCCTGCGAAAGCAGGATCTCGGGAAGATGGTAACGCGCCAGCATGGCCGGGGTGATAGCACCGGCGCTGTCTAGCTCGTGAGCAGGCTGCGGCTGGTTCTGACTGTTGGCATGCTCGACCGCGTCTTCCAGGTCGATGTCCGAGTCCAGCTGCGGCACCGTCGACAGAGGCGAACCGGGCGATAGCGCGGCGCGATGTTTGAAGGCGTGTGGGGGGAGAGTGGGTGAGATGGAGTTGGGTGGCGTCGGAAGCATGGCCGGTTGACCAGGGCGCGACGAGGCCTTGCTTGGGACGCCCGACCGGGGCTTGGGGATGTCAACAGAGGCGGTCTTGCCAGCAAGAGCCATAGCGATGCTGGAGTTGGTTTGTGATGCCATGATGGGTGGTTGAGAAGAGATGATGAAGTTTGTCTGTGAAGCGCGCAAGGCAAGGCCGTATATGAGTCAGACGTGTTCCTATTATACTCTTTTGCGACGCCAGCCGCGCCACGCGATTGGAGGAAGGGCGAGTGGCGACTAGCCGATCCGGGGGAGATAACAAAGGAGAGACGGAGAAGGCTTACCTCTTTGCAACAAAGAGACAAAGAAGAGGATGTGTGTGTGTGTGTGTGTGGTTGTGTGTGTATGAGTGTGTAGGTTGCAAGACGACCGCACGACTGACACGAATACGCGACACTTGGCCGGGGGAGATTGCGACGCGCAAGGGGCAGGATGACTGATCAGGGAGGAGATCAGCGATGTGATAGGATGTAGCCAGAGAAGTTGGATGAAGTAAATGTGAGAGGAAAGGGAGGAAGAGGAGGGAGAGGAACTGAATAAGAAGGCAGGAGGGGTACCAGTATGACAGCAGGTATTCCGTATGTGTGTGAGAGTACCTAATTGCGGTACTCCATAGTGAAGTACCCAGTGTACCCAGTGTACTCCATCCGGTCGTAATGTACGGAGTAGGCCAAAGCCAAAGCCCCAAGCCCCAAGCCAGTGGGAGGCAGTGGGCTTTGCTCGTGCGGTTGTGCGGACACTCGGGCGGGTGATTGGGGCCGGGCACTTCCGGGTTCATTGGAGCACTGTAGTATACTATACACTATACACTATACACTATACACTATACACTATACACTACGGAGTATATAGACTATATCTTTATACTCATAGACTATGTCTACTGTAGTATGACTTTACTAGAGTATATTACTATTGTATAGTGCTCTAATACTGGACAGTATTCTCTATCTAGTAGCATACTTGAGAGTACTTAGTGTACAGTAGACTATAACTAGTACATCCCTGTGAGAATCAGGGAACGGAACAGGGAATGGAATCCCAGGAATCCCACTGGGCCTCCTCCTCTTCCTCCTCCACTCAGCGATCAAAGATGTGCAGGTGCACAGGGCGCAGCCCTAAACAGCGTAGATAGGCATGGGGTACTGGTACATACGGTATCCTAGGTACCCTAGGGTGTCCTAGGGCACCCTATAACCGTGGTCCCTGGCTATCCTCTGTAGAGTACTGATAAGACACCCTTTTGGCACGTGCAGCCCCGGCCAATAAGAGCCGCCATGGCATACTTGTGATCTTCTACACGCATTCAGGTGCCACCTTCTCTTCCTCTACTCCCTACGAACTCGAGAAAAAAAGACTCATCGCTAACTTTTTCGCTTCTCATCCCACCCCACCCCACTGAAGTCTTCATGATTTCATCTCCAAAAATCACCCCTCAAAATGCCCCTCTCTGCCCGCCGCAACTCTCGAGTGGGTCTCCCGATTGATTCTGGACTCGCGCATTGACGTCAAGTCAGGGGTGGAGGCATTTAGGGCCCGAGGGTACTCCGACTCTGTACTCCGTGTGGAGAGTACTTGCAGTTCACGTCCACGCTTAGCGGAGGTATCGGTACATGTACATGTACTCCGTACATCCATACAGTATGCACGCGGAGGCTACACAGCCTATTACTCGCGCCATGCGCTTGCGAATTCCATCCTTCTTTCGTGCCTGGTTCGCCGCATTTAGGTTGATCAGCCACCCCGCGCAATGCGCCGCGCAGTCCTGCGTTGCCTTCTCCGAAGTGTAGCTATACTAGTCCGTATACCCACTCTGTTTTAG